GTCAGAATAGTCCATCCGCCATCAGTGGTTCAACCGTAATGTTATGAAGAGACGAGAAATCTTTTTGTACACGAAGAAAACAAAAATAACGACTTTATTCAACAATTCATCTCCTCTGTGTCTCTCCGCATCATTTTGGAGAATATCCACTGAACGCAAGCAGCCTACGCTCTTCTGTGTCTGCCGCGCTGCGCGGATGCGCTGTTTTTGTTCAAATCAAAGTGTAAATAAACATAGAAAAGCGCGGCTGACACAGAAGACCGTACGCTGCTTGCGTTCAGTGGATATTCTCCAAAATGGCGCTACAGTGATGCGGAGAGACACGGAGGAGACGAATTGTTGAATAAACTCGTTATTTTTATTTTCTTCGTGTACAAAAAGTTTTCTCGTCGCTTCATAACGTTACGGTTGAACCACTGATGGCGGATGGACTATTCTGATGATGTGCTTCATACTTTTCTGGACCTTGACAGTGTAATTTACTTGGCAGTCAATGGGACAGTCACAAGCCTCCCGGTTTTCATCCAAAATATCTTAAATTGTGTTCCGAAGACGAACAAAGCTTTTACGGGTTTGGAACGACATGGGGGTAAGTGATTAATGACAACATTTTCATTTTGGGGTGGAGTAACCCTTTAATAGGTTTTTAATATTGCTGAAGCAGTTTGTTTATTTGGTTAATGATGCAGGGGTTCACATTTCTCTCTTCTCTGGTTTTTTGCCTAGGATGACCGCCAGAGAGCGATGGCGAGTTTGCAAGCGCATCAGCCTGATGTTCTTCCTGGCTGCAGTCGCACTTACTGTGGTTCAGAGAGGAAACATCACCTCCATGCAAGACAGAATCGAGAGACAGGCGCGGATGGAGCTCATGGCGGAGGGCGGGAAAAAGGGCCTGATTAGTGTCAGCTTCTGGAAGAGTGTTCAAAGATCCACCACAGAAGGTCCGAGAATAACCCAAAAGCAAGGCCCCAAGAGCTGGGACGCCACCAGCTCCAACTGCAGTGTCAACCTCAACTTCTCTTCCTCAGAGTGGTTCACGGGTCTGGAAGCCAACTTCAAGCAATTCCTGCTCTACAGGCACTGCAGATACTTCCCCATCCTCATGAATCACCCAGAGAAGTGTGCCGGAGATGTAGACTTGCTGATGGTCATCAAGTCGGTAATAACACAGTACGATCGAAGGGAGGTCATACGGCAAACCTGGGGCAAAGAACAAGTGATCGACGGGAAAAGAATCAAGACCCTTTTCCTTCTCGGAACGTCTTCCAACGAGGGAGAGCGGGCGAACCATCAGAAGCTTCTGGAATACGAGGATTACATCTACGGAGACATCCTGCAATGGGACTTCATGGATAGCTTCTTCAACCTGACCCTCAAGGAGATCCACTTTCTGAAATGGTTCTCCACTTACTGCGGAAACACCCGCTACGTCTTCAAAGGCGACGACGATGTGTTCGTCAGCGTTCCCAACATCTTGGAGTATCTGGAAGCCAGCAAAGACTTGAAGGACCTCTTCGTCGGCGACGTTCTTTTCAAAGCCAAGCCCATTCGCAAAAAACAGAACAAGTATTACATCCCACAAGCCTTGTATAGTAAGACACTCTACCCACCGTACGCCGGCGGAGGCGGTTTCCTGATGGATGGACCTCTGGCTCTGAAACTCTTTGGAGCTTGCGAAACTCTGGAACTCTATCCCATCGACGATGTGTTTCTGGGAATGTGTCTGGAGGTGCTTCAGGTGACCCCAATAAAGCACAACGCTTTCAAAACCTTTGGGCTGGTGAAGAATAAAACCAGTCGACTCAACAGGGAGCCGTGTTTCTTTAGGAGCATGATAGTGGTACATAAATTGCTCCCGCCGGATTTGATAGCCATGTGGAAACTGGTCAACAGTGACTTGATCTGTTCGCAGAAAATTGACTTCTTGTAGTCCGAGACTTTGATAGCGTTTCTGAATCCAAAACATGTCGGAATTCATTCATAAATGAAGGAAACAAAATGAAGGATCTGTGGAGAGAACTTTGAGGTTTCTCAAAGACAAGAAGTTCTCCTTTTTTGAGGAGATTTCTGGACAATATTTTAACTTAATTTATGTACCAAATGACATGGTATAATAATGTGAATAATATGTAAAGGGTTAATGTTATGCTGTTTTTTGGGGGGGAACATTAAGGCTACAAAACTAAAAATATCACCCCAAATGAAAATAATCTACGCGTCATCATGTTGTTCTACGATTTTCTTTCTTCTTTGGAAGTATTTTGAAAAATGCAATGAAAGTCAAAGTGGTTTTGTTGTTTTGGACCCCATTGACTACAACTGTATAGACAAAAAAAAATGTTTGCAAGACATAAGGTGTTTAAATCATGGCAGAATTGTCATTTTTGAGTGAACTATGTATGACTTTATGTCACGAGACAAAATGCGATTGTCCCAAACAGAACGAAACGAGTCTCTACCTCACCATTTTTGTTTTAGTCTGCCCCTCTGTGGGCAAATGTTACCTTAAAAAGTTTTTAAAGTGCATTCATTAAACAAGACCACGTTATTTCTGCTGCAATGACATACATTCCTGGGATTACAGTATATATATCTGAATGATCAAGAGGTGTTATCTCTTAGAGCTTTTATTTTTTGATTTGCCCATAGACTTGAGATGCATTTGGTAGAGGGTTTACTTTAATACTGTGAAAAATCACACTGTCTGGTACATGTAAATGTTGACTTAATTTATGAAATACCTCCTTGGATCGGAGGAGGCGGAGTCTGGTGTAGGATATTAATTGTACTTGAAGGTTACACAAAACAAGGACATTTGTAATCCAAAGTACTCGGTCTGAATGTGTAAAAAATAACTACAATGAACAAACTAAGGTGAAAATGGACTAGTATTTGTAAATAAAACTTTCTTCAAAAAGACAAAAGTGTTTGATTATTCCTTTATATCCTTGTAACAAGAATTCAAGTAAAAGAACAAAAATGAGCATCTTATTTGGAAAAAAAAATCCTTAATACTTTTTCTTTATGTGTATGCATTTTATTGCATTTCTACAGCAAGTTAGGTTTTATGTTGTGATGTGAATGTTAAATATATTATATAACAGGTTTATATAATATTTAGTATAAAATACACAAAACGTCTGTCAAAAGTTAACAACGTATAAATATGCACATAACTGAAAACGTATTAAAAATGAAGAAAGTGTATCATTTTATATACTAAATGTACAGTATGTTGATTCAGGTTTTGTGAAATTCAAAGTTTCACATAATGCGTATATTTCAATAATTCAAATATACATAATATATAACAAGTTTATATGATACTTCAGGTACAAAATACACACTATTTTGTTTCAGGTTTGATTTCAAAATGCCATAATATATATATTTATATGTATAAATACAATATATATATATATATATATATATAATTATATATTATATAATAAATAATTTCAGGTTTGATTTAGTGAATTTCAAAGTTTCTCATAATGTCTTTCAAAGATTCAAATATATTTGAAATATATTAATATAAGACATAGGTTCATATAATATGTCAAATGAAAAAAGTACAAAATATTTAATATGCATAAAAAAACACTTCAACCTTCTGACCCTTTGAAACAAATACCACAATAAGTCTTCCCTGTTATTTATTTGCTTTTTTCTTTTATATTTAAATAAGGCTTCATGAATGTACTAAAGAAGCAACTAAATACCGTGTTAAAGTAGATGTGAATCAAATACTATGTTGTTATGAATACTAAGATCACTGATAAAGTTGGCTGTATAAATGGTGTATGATTTCTTGTTCGTTATTCTTTTTTTTGTCTTTGTTTAGAGTCAAAATGTTACTGAAATACACACTTGCAAAAAGGGAAAACTGAAAAACAGGGAAGAAAAAAAAAAGAACAAAAACACATTTTTATTCTAAAACCTGCTATACAGAAAGATAGACATCTTGACATTTGACACCAGGATTCAGCAATCCTTTATTTGACTACAGTAGACTTGTATGCAGTACTAATGAATGGCAATTCTGTAAACTGAGATCAAGTTATGCACGAGAGCTCAAAGCCACATGTTACATGACTGTGCATTCATAAGCACAATGAATCAAGCAGTCCAGGTTTAACAGTTAATCTAGATCTCAACAGATTGAATAAGATGCGCTACTCTACTGTAAAGACATATTTAATTACCAGGTTTGGCAATGCCTTTTCATTCCAGAATGAATGTTCAAATGGCAATGACATTCTTGAGAAATGTGCTTTCAAATTTCTGTCAACATTGTGAAGAGAGCCCAAAGCGATGATCATACAATGTCTGGTTTGGGGGAAAAAAATAAAACACCTGACCATGTTTGAGATGAATTACCAACTTCCAACATATAGTTGGACAAAATCCTAGAAGGAGCATTTCCCAATTAACACATATGGGTGAGGGCTTCAGGTGTCCACAAACTATTGGCCATAGAGTGCTTGTGCAGAAACATGCTAACGTGACATTTTGACGAGTCTGAGTTGGAAAAAAATTCAAGTCAGTAAGTAACTGATGTCCAAAAAATAAACGATTGTTCAAAAAAAAAAAAAAAAATTGATAGCCATGTGGAAACTGGTCAACAGTGACTTGATCTGTTCGCAGAAAATTGACTTCTTGTAGTCCGAGACTTTGATAGCGTTTCTGAATCCAAAACATGTCGGAATTCATTCATAAATGAAGGAAACAAAATGAAGGATCTGTGGAGAGAACTTTGAGGTTTCTCAAAGACAAGAAGTTCTCCTTTTTTGAGGAGATTTCTGGACAATATTTTAACTTAATTTATGTACCAAATGACATGGTATAATAATGTGAATAATATGTAAAGGGTTAATGTTATGCTGTTTTTTGGGGGGGAACATTAAGGCTACAAAACTAAAAATATCACCCCAAATGAAAATAATCTACGCGTCATCATGTTGTTCTACGATTTTCTTTCTTCTTTGGAAGTATTTTGAAAAATGCAATGAAAGTCAAAGTGGTTTTGTTGTTTTGGACCCCATTGACTACAACTGTATAGACAAAAAAAAATGTTTGCAAGACATAAGGTGTTTAAATCATGGCAGAATTGTCATTTTTGAGTGAACTATGTATGACTTTATGTCACGAGACAAAATGCGATTGTCCCAAACAGAACGAAACGAGTCTCTACCTCACCATTTTTGTTTTAGTCTGCCCCTCTGTGGGCAAATGTTACCTTAAAAAGTTTTTAAAGTGCATTCATTAAACAAGACCACGTTATTTCTGCTGCAATGACATACATTCCTGGGATTACAGTATATATATCTGAATGATCAAGAGGTGTTATCTCTTAGAGCTTTTATTTTTTGATTTGCCCATAGACTTGAGATGCATTTGGTAGAGGGTTTACTTTAATACTGTGAAAAATCACACTGTCTGGTACATGTAAATGTTGACTTAATTTATGAAATACCTCCTTGGATCGGAGGAGGCGGAGTCTGGTGTAGGATATTAATTGTACTTGAAGGTTACACAAAACAAGGACATTTGTAATCCAAAGTACTCGGTCTGAATGTGTAAAAAATAACTACAATGAACAAACTAAGGTGAAAATGGACTAGTATTTGTAAATAAAACTTTCTTCAAAAAGACAAAAGTGTTTGATTATTCCTTTATATCCTTGTAACAAGAATTCAAGTAAAAGAACAAAAATGAGCATCTTATTTGGAAAAAAAAATCCTTAATACTTTTTCTTTATGTGTATGCATTTTATTGCATTTCTACAGCAAGTTAGGTTTTATGTTGTGATGTGAATGTTAAATATATTATATAACAGGTTTATATAATATTTAGTATAAAATACACAAAACGTCTGTCAAAAGTTAACAACGTATAAATATGCACATAACTGAAAACGTATTAAAAATGAAGAAAGTGTATCATTTTATATACTAAATGTACAGTATGTTGATTCAGGTTTTGTGAAATTCAAAGTTTCACATAATGCGTATATTTCAATAATTCAAATATACATAATATATAACAAGTTTATATGATACTTCAGGTACAAAATACACACTATTTTGTTTCAGGTTTGATTTCAAAATGCCATAATATATATATTTATATGTATAAATACAATATATATATATATATATATATATAATTATATATTATATAATAAATAATTTCAGGTTTGATTTAGTGAATTTCAAAGTTTCTCATAATGTCTTTCAAAGATTCAAATATATTTGAAATATATTAATATAAGACATAGGTTCATATAATATGTCAAATGAAAAAAGTACAAAATATTTAATATGCATAAAAAAACACTTCAACCTTCTGACCCTTTGAAACAAATACCACAATAAGTCTTCCCTGTTATTTATTTGCTTTTTTCTTTTATATTTAAATAAGGCTTCATGAATGTACTAAAGAAGCAACTAAATACCGTGTTAAAGTAGATGTGAATCAAATACTATGTTGTTATGAATACTAAGATCACTGATAAAGTTGGCTGTATAAATGGTGTATGATTTCTTGTTCGTTATTCTTTTTTTTGTCTTTGTTTAGAGTCAAAATGTTACTGAAATACACACTTGCAAAAAGGGAAAACTGAAAAACAGGGAAGAAAAAAAAAAGAACAAAAACACATTTTTATTCTAAAACCTGCTATACAGAAAGATAGACATCTTGACATTTGACACCAGGATTCAGCAATCCTTTATTTGACTACAGTAGACTTGTATGCAGTACTAATGAATGGCAATTCTGTAAACTGAGATCAAGTTATGCACGAGAGCTCAAAGCCACATGTTACATGACTGTGCATTCATAAGCACAATGAATCAAGCAGTCCAGGTTTAACAGTTAATCTAGATCTCAACAGATTGAATAAGATGCGCTACTCTACTGTAAAGACATATTTAATTACCAGGTTTGGCAATGCCTTTTCATTCCAGAATGAATGTTCAAATGGCAATGACATTCTTGAGAAATGTGCTTTCAAATTTCTGTCAACATTGTGAAGAGAGCCCAAAGCGATGATCATACAATGTCTGGTTTGGGGGAAAAAAATAAAACACCTGACCATGTTTGAGATGAATTACCAACTTCCAACATATAGTTGGACAAAATCCTAGAAGGAGCATTTCCCAATTAACACATATGGGTGAGGGCTTCAGGTGTCCACAAACTATTGGCCATAGAGTGCTTGTGCAGAAACATGCTAACGTGACATTTTGACGAGTCTGAGTTGGAAAAAAATTCAAGTCAGTAAGTAACTGATGTCCAAAAAATAAACGATTGTTCAAAAAAAAAAAAAAAAAAAAAAAAAGGGTCCCTGTATTATTATTGCTATTATTATCAAGGAATACAGAACCATGGCCACTCAGTTTTTGATAGATAGGCTAAATTATTATTATAAATTAATTTGAAAGATATTCATCTTTTTTTTATAATTAATTCATAGATTTAAATTACAGCCGGGAGATTTATGAAACATTCTTTGCAGTTTGCGTGTGTTTATCTAATGCTTAGAAATATTAATAAGGACCAAACAGAGCTTCGAAGTTAACACTATAAAGCCAAGAGATATAACCGCATTACACAATACGCTACATTTTGCAAAACTTAATGTTACTCGAGACACTTGAGAATGTTTGAACCTTATTATAGAAGATTAAAAACAAAACAAAAAAAGTATAAATGAGGTATTTACTTAAAGAAAAATGGCACACTTTCATGTCACCAGAAAACTCGAGGCTGCCGCGTGCTTTGACAAATCGACAAGAGGTTAATATAAACTGAGAAAACACTGGGTAAAATCATTCATTTACCAACATGCTGAGATCAACAAGCCCTCTTTCTGTGACACGTGCTGTTTCTGCGG